CGGGACACCAGCATCACATGACCCGGACGCCATCAAAACATGACCGGGACACCATCCGCCCACCAGCTCTGACGGTGACCCGACGGCGCCCGTCCGCCTATTAGTTTTGCAAGACCCCATAGCATGGCTATTGGGGAAAAATTTGTCTTCCCGGCCTGTCCACTTCCATGATTGTTGGAGGAAGGGTACGGTCAGCGTTGAAGATGGCCATGCCCTCGGCTAGTCCCTTCCGCCCACGTCCACACCGGGACTATGGATCAAAACCGGAAGAGTTCGCTGGAGTCTACTAGAGGTCTTGCTCTTGCGCAACGGTTCGCACACTACACACCCCTTGCCCTATGTGCGGCTATGGTAGGGAAGATCGACACGGTTTTTGTGTGTGTTTTTCGATGCACTTTCCACACAAAGTGGGCATCTCACAGTTTTGGAAAGCACGATTGTGGACACGATTTTGAAGCTCAAGCCGGAGAACATGGACAAACCCCCGTTCAAGTGGGCATCTCCACAGTTTGTAATGCACATGATTTCGAAGCAGGGTATGACCCACACCCACCGTGCTCCGCACTCCGTGCTCCTTTTTCGCCCCTGCCCGTCGGGCGTCAAAACCGTCTCCGCGGCCTCTTCTCGTCCGCCTCGGCTGAAAGTGGCTTGCCATCCAGCGGACGAACTCGAGTTCGTTGATCCCAGAAGTCGAAGGAAACGGCAGAGTCGGAAGTAAGTACCCTAGAAGTCCAAAGACTATATTTTGACCGGCTGAAGTAAAGGAAGTTCCATGAAGTTCCCTTTCAGTTCCCCTAGTCAGACCATTCTATTTATAGTCGTTGACTCCCAGGGAGTATAGTCCAAACCCGCGCGATGCTACTTGTTGCTACCTTCGATCGCTTCGAGCCCCAAAACACGCCGACCGGCGGTGGCCTCCGCCGGAAAGCGCCTTCGGGCGATTCGCGGCAATCTCATCGGCCAGGGGTGCCTCATGGAGTTGGAGTTCAGTACCTTCCCTGCCGGGAGTTGAGGGTTGTTGGGCCCTAACAGGTATCAATTGGTGAGCTGTGGAGTTGGAGTGGAGTCGGGGAGTGGAAAGTGGAATTGGATCACACCTGGTGAAAAAAGTGAGCCTCTTGGAGTGGCTCTTTTCGGGCCTGTTTGTTGAACTCAAACCTGGGGATCGTCACTTTGAACCAGGACTCCTCTTTTCCCCTTGGCAATGCCTCAGAGGGATGATCAAAGAAGGTGTTGCCGTCTTCGCCTGAGGGCCCCGGTGATCGTGAATCCATCCAAGGATACGCCACTGTCCACGCTCACAGGTCAAAACGAAACAGGTGAGGTCAGGTTGGCACCTCATCCATTTACAAACACGCCTTGGCCGCCTTGGCCTCCTTGGTCTGGGCCAATGACTGCCGCCGAAGGTCTAGGAGGCTGGTGCATCAGACTGCTTCACCCATACGTCAACCATGATCGCTTGGCCATTCAACAAGCTCCTGACGGAGAATCGACTGTGGCAGCCGTCCCCAGATAGAGAGGATGGCAGGGTTTCCAATACATGTTTAATGGGAGTGAGGATCTAACGAAATTCTATCTACTTGGGGGTTTATCTAAAGCAATCCTGGGCCCTGGAATGGCGTTCCAGTCTAAAGAACGGAACTCCCGTGTTGGCGAGCGAGAGTCACCTGGCTCCCGGGTTTTTCATGGTGAAGAACTGGATTAGCTCCGGATACCTCGGGCTCCTGAGCTCCTTCTAGTTTGGGATGGCTAGTAAGGCTAGGCACCCCAAACGAGTAATTGCACATCGTGGTCCCTCCACGTGCTACGCAGCGAAAAGGCTATTGGGAACTGCACCCACAAAATAGACATATGATGAAATAATATGACATATATTGAGGGCTAATCCAGCATGTCTCTGATCATCCATCCACCTCCTCCGTGGATACACGTGCCAGTCGCGCCATCCACCGGTCGCTTCCCACGGAATGAGACCCCCGGTCGCTCCCGTTGAGCATGGTGATGGCATTCGCCGCCTCTTCGGCGGTGGCGTAGGAGACGCCTCCAGTGCCGGCACCTTTACCACTGAAGCACTCCACCCACGTGGTCTTGCCTGCCTGGGACCGGTCGGCATCCCAAACGAAGCGCCAACCGCCACGGTGGAAGGGGTTGCAAGGGGGGGCCGCTCCGCCCATCCGATCCGTCCGCAGATCGGATCCCGAGCGGGGAAACCCGTGGGTAGGACCGTCCGGCGTTCGGCGTTCGCCGTTGGAGTCACAGGCAGTCTAGGATAACAAAGCGCCCTTTCACAGGTGCGTTTGTCATACCACATGCTGGGGCACATCTTCACGTGTCAGTTGATCTTTGAGGGCAACCCGAGTTCATGGGCCCTGACTTTCAACCCTGTTTGCTAATCCCCTTGACTTGTGGGCCACTGGACGCTTGAGCTCAACATCTTCCCACAACCGCATCCCACATGCACGCGGCGCATGGATTCCGAGGTTGTTTTTTGGTTGAATCCGGCCTGATTCATATGCTCCTGTAAGGCTTTCCATGAGGTGCCCTCAGGCAGGTTGCCGATCCAACATTTCAAGGCTGGATCCACCTTCAGGCCTTTGCTGCCCTGGCGAACCAATTTCGCGCGTCACGTGTTCGGAACACGTGCTCGATGTTGACCATCATCGGTGTATGCATCGAGCGGCGACTCGACTTCTGAGAACAAGCCAAACCCTGGTGTGTGGGTTTAATTAAGGTTGATTCACTATCACGCATGTTTTTACACATGCATGTTGGTGCATATATACGTACATGCATATGTAAAGACATACATGTATGTAACTGATGTGTGAAAACGGTTGCTTCGTGATGTGCTGTTCGTGCCCCCTGCAGCCCCCGGCTGCCCCCGGGGTCCTGTGAGTGCATGCACGTCTGGCTCATGCTACGTCATTGCAGTCCACTGACTCACTCAAGTTGCACATTGCAACAGGTCATTAAGAGTTTACTCTGCATGGTCCCACTTCTTAGGGTCCCACACTCATGCAAGCTAACAAACCCACTTTCGAGCCATTCGCCCCCTGTTCCACGTGAAAATGACCTTGGAGGAAGGACAGCCATCTACAGCCACCTACAGTTACAGTGCCAGCCTTCTGCATGGCCTGCCCGTGCCAACCTGATCAATTGCACTGTTCGGCCTGCCTTCCCCCAGCCTTTGCCCTTCATGCCCCACTTCATGAACCTGGGCAGGATCGTCACACGGAGAAGAACGACCAGAAGGATTGACCACCAGCTGCCAGCTCAACCTGTCTTTCAACTGTTGGAAGGTTCAGGATCCATGTGGATCGACACCGAAACTGGCCAGGCTTGGGCCCTTGGGCTGGTGAAAGACCATGCCACCGGATGACGATCTGGCTCATGACACGAACTTATACTCAGTGAAACCCACAAAAAAAAAATACATACAGTACAGCATAACATGCATATATAAATATAAATATAAATATGCGGATATGTATGTATATAAACACACATGCATATGGATTATGTATTATATATATTAATATATAATATATACGTGTAATGTGCTGTTATGTATTACCTTCCGCTCTAGGTTTATAACACTTTATACTTGTTTGTGTGTTTATGCTAAGCCCGGACCGGAATCATCTACGAAGAATTGATCCCAAGAGGAGGCAAATCAACAGTGCCTAAAGACATACCCAGCCCATGCCGTCATCGTAAGGACGAGACTGCTGACAGTGACAAAATGCATGCCTCATGCGCACTCAAAGGGTGCCCAACAAAATGTCTTGCCTTCCAAGAGCTCCCCCAAAACCAACCAAGATTGACTTGCAGCTTGCATGTGCCCGGTCTTGGAGCGCGCCCATTGTGCCCGTTTCATGGGGCAAATACGAGCAGAGTTCATCGAGTTGGGAAGCGTCCAAGGGGTCAATCTCCAACTCCCGTCCCAAAACGGAAAGCCATTCCAGATCCCGATTCTCTGCGTGACGTTTTTCAGCCATCCATCCAAGATCATCCAAGATCATCCAAGCCATCAGGGACAAGGCAAAGACCAAAACAACCAGCAAGGAGGGACGATGATGGGCACACCATCGTCCCACCGGTTGCGGTGGCACGGCAGCCGGCCGGTCCCGACGACGTTCCGAATCCCGACCCCCCCGGGGTCCCGGGAGTGCTCCGCCCCCCATGTTCCGGTCGCATGTGAGGTCGGAGGGTCAAGGTCGCTGAGGGTTGGGGGGAACGGTTTCTTGGAGCACCATTTCTTCCTCAACTCCTAGCCGCTACGAACGGAGCGATCGGACGCTGGAAATACGAACGGAGCAATTTTTTGCGACTAGGAGCAAGGGGGGCATCGCTACTAGTAACAAGGACCCTCTTAGTTTCAGTGCGCCCAATCCCGCCGCCCAACTCCCGCCAATCTTCCCGCCGATCCGAGGCACATCGGCTGCCATGGAGACCATCCTCCTTTGCCGCCTTTGTCGCCTTTGCCCCAGTCGCCTTTGCCCCAGCCACCGAAGCCCATGGCTACCTCACCAGAAAAAAACCAATGCGCTCGGAAAACACTCTGTCTCGGGTGCGGTTCCGGGCACCGATAACCCTGGCACCAAACGAGCCTGGGTATCCCAAACGAGCCTGCCCGGCTGCCCGGTTGGTCCACATGAGCCCAGGATCCGTATGTCAGGATCAATCCAGATCTCGATAATAGTGACAAACGAGCAAATCTTAGGATAATATAGGAGTGAAGCCCTCAAAAGTCACCTTGCGTAGGACGGTCTGGTTTTCCTCCACTAGCCCACCGATCGCAGCGAGGTCATGGGCCTCGCTAACGCGGGGGACAGACCTCGCTGTTCCAATGAGCATACTGCACGGGCCCCCGTCTCCAAGAAAAGCGGACGTGCAACTCCCCATGACCCAACCCTCTTCTGTATCAATGAGGTCCGTACGAACCTGAGATATAATAGAGGGGTCGATGCCAGGTCCGATAAACCATGGACGCCGTGTGTGGGTATGTCTCAGGTGAAGGGCCACCACATGTGTTTTTGCTCGAATCATCCCGTTCAATCCATTCTCCCAAGGAACGAACGCGCCTAGTCCGGCCTCCAAAAAGCACTTTCAAAACACCGCGGCTCAGCTCTCAGCTCTGGCGGTCTGGCCGCCCCACACCGAACGCCTCCGCCCGGCCTCCGGACACACCCGCCACGGACGTGGGGCTCGGCTTCGCAGGTCGCCCCGAGCCGAGAGCACTGCGGCCAGGTGCTGCACCGACCATAACCCAAACACGACCAGTGGGACAGGATCTTGATGAGCCAAATGCTGGGTCGTTGCCCGCAAGTGCCTCAGGTTGAACCCCTTAGTTCACCAGTATTAGGCAGAAGGCGTTCAATTTGAAGAACGCCTTAAGTAGTTCAATAGTCTCAAGAATTCACGGTCAAATGCAGTCTGGAAAGCGGAAATCGCTTGGACCGAATTCACCAACAGCTTCGACCTGGACCGCCCGAGAGGTGAACGAACCTGGCGTGGATCCTATAGCAAAGCATCCAAAAGTGGCGTAACCCGAAGAGAGTGACATTGTACCGATCAGTATATGCACACCTAGAAGTCCAAAAGACTACTTAGGGGCACCAGTGAAGTAAAGAAAATTCCTGGACTCGGATTCGGATCACCTAAAGACTTGGATTCTCAGGGTCTTGAGATATATAAAATTTAGATATTTAAAAATATATGACCAATTATATGCCCTCAAAACTCAAAAACGTTTAACCCCTGTTTTGACCAGAAAGGGCTCTCTCACTAATGGGTTGCTGAAAGGAAGCGTGTCAGAAGATCACAGGAGCAGGCTTCTGTGTGCGCCGACCAAGTGATCTTGAAGTGGATTTTGGTGTGTATGCAATACACTCCCTCTCACTAAACCACCTGTTCGTAGAGTAAATGGTCTTCCCTAGAAGAAGCAACATTGACCGCCCTAGGCCCAGGCGAAGTACCTGGTGACCAACGAACACCGTTTTTCCACACGCACATTTCGCATCAGCTTCGGCGCAACGAATACTCCTGCCGCTTCGCCGCGCCTGAAGAGGGCTAAGCGCGTGCGTCGGCTCGCGAAGCCGTGTGCGTGGTGGAATGAGTACCGAAAATGGTCCCCACGTGAGAAAGCAATCCTCACCCAAACCTCCCAAAACACCACCTGTTTTGAAGCGCTGCTGTCAGCTTCCGGCGGCTTCCGGTGCCGGTGCCACACATGCTCCACATCGAAAACGAAGGCTCGGGCCCCCGCAGGTTCGGAGGACGTTCCGAAGAACACCAGTGGGTTTCCACGAGTCAATGTGAGTGTGTCAAAGAGCGCATATGTCGGTTATATATTATACCAAAAACAAGGGTGAATGAATGACTGTAAGAACCCCTGCTCCACTGTGGGTCCACACTGTTTGAGACCAATTCCTTAGATCCGTGCAGTGTCCCCCTGGTGGTCTGAAGTGAGCCGAGCTGGTGGCTGATCACATCAGGAAAGTCTGTTGGACATCCTTTTGAGGGGAGCTCTGGGGCCCACGTCTGCACGGCCCCCGTCTGCACGGCCCCCGCCGGGCCTCTAGGAGGCGGGTGCATCCGTCTGCTTCACCCATACATCTACCATGATCGCTTGGCCATTCAAGAGGCTCCTGAGCGCCGTGATGGGGTCCGGAGCCTCAATCCCTGCGGCATCTTTCCCCACTTCACTGGTGGACACCACTTCGGTCTCGAAGCCGCTTGCGTGTTGTGCTTCCGGGTGGGAACTGGGATTCTCTTGGATTCGGTGACGAAAGGCCCTGCCGCTGTTTCAGTGGGTGGGGCCCATGCTCAAACATCGGAGTGGGGAGACCACGACCGTTCACCACTGCTCCTCATTTCGGAGAAAGAATGGATTCCAAAATGTCGCATCACAGTGGAAGGACCGGAAAGAATAAAAAAGGACCTCTTGCCTGTTGCGAAAGCTCCACACGTGTTGAAGTGGTGGGTGGACAGGACCAGTCCAGAGTTCAACCCCAATGCATGCAATTTGATGTAATGTAGGCTCTTGATTAATGGAAGTCCTCTTGATAAGGGGGGTTTATTAATCAAGAGTCTACATTCTACATTATAAAGTGTTGTAGAATTTCGTGTGCTAGGCCGCTGAGCCTTCTTGACGCAAAGCGCGGCAAGAAGACAACCGAAAAAGAAGACTTCGCCGTGTTCCACCCTGACCGCCCTCACAGGGACACCTCATCTCCATCCTTCCAATCTCCGCCCCCCTGACCGCGGTCTGGACGCCCATTGAGCATGGTGATGGCATTCGCCGCCTCTTCGGCGGTGGCGTAGGAGACGCCTCCAGTGCCGGCGCCTTTACCACTGAAGCACTCCACCCACGTGGTCTTGCCTGCCTGGGACCGGTCGGAATCCCAAACGACGCGCCAACCGCGATCTCGGCCGTGGCGGAGCGGAGCGGAGAGGAGCGGGGCTTCTATGTAGCATTTGCACCTCGTTTTATGGCCTAAACCTGGACCCTCCAAGGGGTGCCCTGTCTGGAAGCCTATAGGTAGTGTGGGGTAGTTCATTGGACACCCCTTAGAGGGTCCAGGTATATAGGTATATATATATATTATATAGGGATGCTCGCGCTCTTTTCAGCCTGCGTATCTTCGATGTGTGACAGTGGGAAGGCACTATTTTGCCTTTGTTGACCC